GTAATTTATTCATTTTCTATTTTGAAGTTACCCTTATTGACTTGATTAGTGGACTATCCATCTAACACGTTTAACTTTTCTTCTTGTTATTCATTAAACTATTTCAGTTGGTAGGCTTAGATGTTGCTCATAGTATGGTTTGATATTTAGATGTTGCTGTTCGGTATTAGTTGTAGTGTCAAAAGGACAAAACTTGTTAGATGGATAAGACACTTTGTCCATGTCGGGTCAGTTAAGACCCAGTACTTATTGGTGCTTGCTCCAGAATTAGAATGTTGTAAGACATGTTTTAACCAGCTCTTATAGAGTGAATTTTCATAACAGGGGCTTCATTATTGATCTCAAGTCATCTACTTGTACTAAGGCCTCCAGTGGTAACTGTGAAGAATTCTGCTAGCATAGTAAGTGAATTGGGGTCTACTTTGAGAAGTCTTGTATACTACTTATGCTATTTATTTAAAGGGAAATGAAGTGGACACTTGTAAGTTAGACGTGATCTTGCTGGAGTAATCACTTTTAACTGGATTGGAAAAGTACTGGTCTTGCACTTAAGCCAATTGCTTTTTTCGGATCATTTTGGTCACTAATACAATCATTCTGGATGGCAATATCTTGAAATGTGTTCATTTTCTATAGGTGTATACCACAAGCTGTATAGTGAGTGTGATACAGCAATTGCTAAACATTTTTAAAGTGTTTTTTTTCAAGATTAATTATCATCTGACACATAACAATGCAGTCGCCTGACACGGTTAAGTTTCTGAATTTATCTATTGTATTAATGGAGTAAGGACCATGCGCTCCTTACGTGCTGGTGATGATCAATTGAAAAAATTGATAACAATTGGGTTCAATAATAGATATCAAGCTGTTGGTTGCTGTGTGGATGAGGCAGCTGCAACCTTGGTTTGATAGAATGCAAGGCCAGCCGTCTTGCAGCGGTAATCTGTTCTAAGACATTCCAGCAATTGTGAAAGGTAAAGAAATAGGGGATAATTGTCCTTGCTTTTCAGTGTAGGCCATTGGTACAAAATTGCTTTTGTTAGTGGTATATAATATATTTTGAATATTATAGATGACACGAACTGAAAGTAATTTCTTGGTTCTGATTGAATTCATACCTCCCTATTTCACACACACACACATTGAAGGGCAAAGAGATTTTCTCAAGTTTGTGCCATTCAAGATCTGAATTTAGAGAAAGACTCCTCATTTTAATATAAAGTCATTCCTGCAAGTTTTATACCATCTCATTTGATACGCAGTTCATGCATGCAAATTATGATATTGTTGAATTGGTTGCTATGTGTTTGCCATGGTTACTGTAGTCTTGGTTACTGATATGGTCGCATTGGGTAATCAGAATTGACTACTGCAGGTTTTTATTTATGAATTTCGTTATTAGTTATGTCACAAGAAATCTCAACATGAATTATAAACTTTTCATTATTGAGGAATAGAAACAAAGTTTGGGATATGTTTTATGGCGCAACAAGGGCATAAAACGCTATCAATTACTACTAAACCAAAGCAGTTTCATAATCTTGTCATTAAATTATTTATTGTTTATAAGTGTATGTATATGCTGGTTAATAGCAGTTGGTGGTAGTTTTTTTATGGGGCATTATTTCCATCCGTGAAATGTTCACATAAAAATCACCGACTGCCTAACTTTTTTTTATACACAGAAACTCGGTGATTTTTTATTTATTTGTCTGGAGTACCAAAGGACCAAATAATGCAATGGAACCAGTCTTTTTCCGCTGCACTTGTTGTGAAGACCACCGTTATTTGGGTTGTGTAGGTGGTTTCTTTCCACAGAATCGGGAGGTGAATAAGTGTCATACAATGAAGTGTGGGCAATATTTTGGAACACGTGTTGGTTTCCAAAATTGTCTACGCTACCGTCGGTGCCAAAAACTTTTTTTTTTGGTGGCCGAAGTTTAAATATTCACTTTTTAAGCATTCTGTGATGAAGGATTGTGCTCGTTCAAATAATGACTTGCCAGATTCTGTCGTTTTTGCTGCTTTAATCAGTACATCTAGTTAAGTAGGAGCACGCTCGGGGGCCATGTTGTCATGGTAACCACTAGCTGACATGATGCCAGTAAGTTTAAAATATCTTAATCCAATCAGGAAACTAATGACCCGTACTTTGGATTTGACTCTTTGTCAGCTAGGTATTGAATACGATGGCCTAGTTGTCCAAGCGATTGACCTTAGCATCTCAACGTGCGCTACGTGCCAAGCGAAACTGCATTTGTATTGTTTTACATATTTTCATTGTGAGAAAGGGTGCAGTGAGTGAGTGTTGGCACAGGCGAATTAGGTTCTACAAGAGATTATTAAGAAATTATTCAAACGAGCAAATGCATACCTGTACTTTTTGCATAGTGACCACAAAGTTTCCCCCCAAAGGTTAATCCTTTTCGCTTCGTTCAGTTTTAGTTTCCTTCATATTTGTACCAAGTACTGTGATCTTTAGAGGTTCATTTCATTTCCTGCGGTTCATGGAGAATAGCTCTTGTTTCTGAGCACTTAGAAGAAAACTGCAAGATTAAGGGCTCTAAATAAGTCTTTAGAAATCACATTACCTGTGTGTGTGGAGAGAGAGAGAGTGCATCTTTTAAATGGGACGGCATTTAAAAATTTCTCAGTAGCATTTCCTGTTTAAACTTGAGTATTTAAGAAAGTCTGGCTTTGTTCTTTATTTATGTACNTCGGCGCAAAATCCTCATTTGTGTATCTTTTATTAGTTTCAAAACGCCTCATTATATTTCTTATATCATTACGTACAGCCACTATATATTACATATCATCTTAAATAATATTTGAGCAATCGTCTTTCCGGTGTCGCCGAAGGTTGTTCCGTTACGATTACAGAGGTAATGGTGTGTGTCACATACAGTCGGTAGAAGTGGGTTAGCAACGCGAAAGGCTTCCATTACCTCGACGCCCAGCGCTCGAAGTTGCCTCGTGATGTTAGCGTTCGCCGCTGCCGTCATGTAGTAATTCGAGTCCTGGTTACAACAAGGGTTGGGGAGAGTTTCTTGGTAAATCATCCGAGGCGCCATGTCTGTGTTCATGTTTTGAAGAAGATTGCCCAGAAAGTCAATGAAAAATGGAACGTCGTGCTGTAAAAGTCTTTTGGCGCTGTCCTTTACCAGTGACCAAATGCCGAAGTTAAACAAAATTACTCTTTTCTTGAAGTTGGAAGTGGTGTTATTTTCTTTGACATTTCTCTTACGAATCACTTTAGTACTGGACCTCGTTAGGAGAGACAGTACTCTCTCCGTGTCATTAGGATATTTTGCAAATTTAAAGGAAGAACGCGGCGCGCCTTTAGTCCCGTTGCCATTCTCCCTTTTTGAAAGGACACTTTTCCGAAATGCCTCTTCCCACAATGAATTCAAGTATAGCCTAGTTTCTCGCATATGTGAGTCGCCCATTACAGCCAACGACATGCCTCGCTGACATTGCAGCAATTTCTCACCGGCAGCAAATTCGAGTCGGCATCCGTCTTTTGTTCCCCACCGCCAGCGTCCTCCATCGTTCCACCAGCGCCCGTCAAGGTAATCCCTCACCGTTTTGACCTTACACAACTTAGACTTGCTGTCTTGTTTCAAAACCGCCTTGGGGTTTTTGGGGCATCCATGAAATGAAAATATTTTTTGGTGAAGTTGTTTTTCTCGACACAGTTTCCCATTATAGTGAGCAGTAGGCCTGGGATTGGGATGGGAGCGGTACGCTTCAAAGAACGTGTAGTCGAGATGTATGGTGCCGTTCACGCAGCCGGTGATCTCCGGACAAAATGCAATGTACGTACCGTTGAAAAAATCTCTCACTGGACAAACATGGTATTCATTTCCGACCAGTTCTACGCGAAATCCACTTCCCCCAAGGAGTCTGTTGGAAGGTGTTTCTGGAACAGGCAGTCTAACGCTCATCTCTTCAATTCTTATCATAAGTTTGTTGCCGGTAAAAATAACGGTGGCATTATGGCGTAAGGTTACGTTTTTTCTTTCATCGCACTGGTTTCCGCACTTGTACCAAAAAAACAGCAGCTGTTCTCTTTCTGCAGGGCCGTTAATTGACCAAATCCCGTCCACATCCGAGTTCACATGAGCGTTTTCAGCTTTGGTCTCCGTTTTATACATTTGGGACAGCCGGTTACCATTTTGGGGGTTAACATTAACTTTTTCGTGTCCTACCATCTTGCTTTCCTTCCCGATCCATCGAACGTTGTTTCCATCAAGTTTGTTTGTCGTGTGGTATTCTAGCTCGCCCACCGTTCTGTCATTTCCGTTGTCTTCTGTATTCGCGCTGCCGTTTGGTTTCAGAGTGCCTTGCTGACTGAAACTGCCAGGGTATGAAATGAAAAGAATCAACCCAATACAGGATTCAAAAATGACAAAAGCAAGCACCGTCTTTGTTGACATTTTCACGCTATGTCTCGGCTAAATTTTGCATGAGGATACGCAGTCATATTGATACGTTCCTTGGAGTTACCGCGCGCAGTGATACCAGCATATGTAAACATAATTTCGTGACTTTATCTATATTATAATAACAGATCACCCGAACTCTCCGTGTCACGTTTTCCTCCCAAACTACAACGATCTGTTGACAACTGACAGGTGTTAGCAATACGCATGTACCTTAGGACAGTGGGAAGATATTAGCCGTAGTTTGAATTTGATAACTGTTAAGTATAATTATTTTGAAGGCATTTTCTAGCCTTCGGCAATTTCCGTATATCATCGGCATGTGTGGCGGGCATAATATACTGTCAATTTCACATGTTTCAATGTTTAATTTGACGGGTATCAGATAGTATTGTATATATTATATATATATATATATTAACATTACATACTGTGTTTAACCTTATGTTAATGTGTCTTATATGCTGGTTGCTGAACTAATCATTCGAAAAGTCCGAATTATTCATCAAGCAAGAATTTCATCAGCTGTGTTATAAGAATGTTTTTTCTTCAATCAGTGTTAGACATCGAAACATTGGAGGTAAACTATTTCAATATTGCACTGCTGATTGAAGAAAAATTACTTTATTCTTATTGGAATTATTCATGTTTGTGTAAACTGGATGGGTAGATGAAATTAATTTTTATGGTCATTTGATGGTCTATAATTAATTACAAACGCCATGAACCTTCTTTACGCATCACCTTTCTTCTGGAGACTCACAATTTTACTAGAGCAATTTATTTTGTATCTTTGTATCTTTCTATCTTGTATTTCGTCAAAACCCACAATAAAAATATTAGACTGAAAAATCAGCCTATGCACAGGATGAAACTCCACCTTCCCTCAATTTTTCTCCCGTTTTTCGTTTCCCACATTTCTCCTGAGCCGCGCCTACTCGAGGAGATTGGGCAACAATAGTACTCCCAAGTGGTGGATGAATCCCCCCCCCCCCCCCCCCCCATATAAAGATTGGAATTACACTACATATAACATAAAGTACATTGGACAGCTCACTTAATGCATGGGTGAGAGTTGATTGAAATGTTGATTTGATATAAAAGTTGAGTTGATTAAAAACTGAAAGTCCCGAAACGTACCTTGCAATTTCCATCGCATTTAGACCATATGAAAAAAAGGATCAGAATGGAGAATGAAAATCCTTAAATCGGGCATAATCCTGAAAACTTTCACCCATGACTAAGGTTGTATTCCCAGAGCTTTTAGATCGATCTATCCCCGCGGGGAGTCTCACTAGATTACTGTCAGATAATCCGGCTTAAATGTCCGTCCCGCCTACTACAAGCTGTAAGGGGGTAATTAACTTTCGTGTCCGCTCGGCTGACAGCTATTTAGCGTGAACCCCCAGGGAGTTAGGTCGATCTAAAGTAGATCGATCTAATCTCTGGAAATGGGGTCTAAAACCCCAGCATTCAATAGCTCAGCACCTCTGCCAAATTTCATGGGTACATCTGGGATGAAGAGAGCCAAAACGATTACTGGTCCCCTCTTGTAATTAGAATTTTGACTAGCTGAATCACAGTTCTAAACCATACCAAATGACACCATTCGACCTCTAAAATACCAAAAATTAGTAGTCTGTTGGAGTGGTAGACGAATCTCTATCCTTTGTCTTTTTTTTCCTAAATGAAGACGAATTACACTATAAAAAGCATACAGCACATTGGAGAGCTTACTGAATGTTACTAAAACCCCAGCATTCAGTAGCTCAGCACCTGTGCCATATTTCATGGGTACATCTGGGATGAAGAGAGCCAAAACGTGAAGTTTTTCTATGCTCAACTGAGTTCAGCTCAAACCCCCCCCCCCCCAATTAAATTACAGACAGGTAAGGGTCTCTTTTAACTCTCTCTACCTGTAGATTGGGATGGTAGGGTCTATTCCACATACAATAGTTTTTAGATGTCACTTATGGAAAAATGAGGTGTGGCATTTGAGTTGAAGTAAACTCAGAAGAACCCAGATGGGCAAAGAGAATCCGTAAACAAAAAAGAGAGAAGCTTTCGCATTCCAAGAATTTCCCTTCTCTTTTTAATACATTTCCTACAGGTATTTCTCTCTATAATCATAACTATAATATTGTCATCCATGATTCAGTCACATATAAAATGAAATCAAGTCAAAAATTTCTCGCTTTAATCATTTTCCTCCATTTCTATTTCTTCTATCGCCATTGAGCTTCCATCCAGTGTTGCCGTGTCACTAGCACTAGCGCCCCCTGGTGTGCTCTGAATGGGCGTGTCCTCGGGCTGGCTTAACTGATGGTCGGACTCTGAGACAGAACTGAAGTCTAACCTGTTCTCTGTTTTGTATTCAGGTAAAACATCTGGAAGACCTGAGAAAATAAATTCTTTTAATTACAAATACGTACAAAAGTCAAAAATAAAAAAAAATCGAAAGGAAATACACACTACAAATAAAATCATAATCTGTATTTCACTTTATTTTCAATTTTTTTCTTTTGATAATGACCTCTAATAACTCTAGGGTTCAGATATAGACCAAAAGCAATAATTTATTAAACTTTTTTTTCATTTTCAAATACCTTGAACTACTCACAAATCAAAATCACAAAACATCAAAAATTACACTTTTAGCATATTCAAAATTATCCAGAAATCATAATCACTAAAAGTAAAAAAAAAATTACACTTAAGTCTTTAAGGATATTCAAAATTGTCAAATTCAAAAAAATTATACTTTAGAATATTCAAAAATTTTCTAGAAATGAAGCACATAAAGTTTAAGTGTCCCCAAGTTATCGGAAGGTTGTTTCCAGAGGTTGCTTGTGACTGAGTTCTCGAGTAAGACTGGGTTTCCATACTTAGATCAATCCATCTGGATCGACCTAACTCCCTGGGGGTTCACGCTAAATTGCTATCAGCTCAAGAGGCTTAAATGTCTGTCACGCCTACCGAATCAGCTACGGTAAAGACAATTACCCCCTAACAGCTTTACTAGGCGTGACAGACACTTAAGCCCGTTAAGTTGATCACAATTTAGTGAGACTCCCCAGGGAGATAAATCGATCCAAAATTCTGTGGGAATGGTCTCTAAGTTCCTCAAAGTCTGCCACAGGTTTGCATGCAGTATTACACAACTGTATTACAGGTGATGTGACTGTAAATTTTTTAGCACCCACATGGTATTGGGTGGTGTCAATGATATAAATCTGTGAAGTGAATTTGAAAAATTCATAGCACAAGTCGATAATCTTACCGTGTGTCACAGCTTGAATTACATCAAGTGAAGAGATGAGAAAGTAACTGCTAAATTATTTATATCTTTGATACTGAAGACAGAGAGGCAGACATTTCATAACCAACAGAGAAGAGAAACATAATTTATATCCTTGATACTAAAGACAGGCCGATATTTCTTAACCAACAGAATATATGGTGATAAGGATGCAACTAAGTCCTTAACATATCTTTTTGACCATTCAAATTTTTTATTTATTTTTAAATCTTATGAAAATATCATCTCAACTTGATGTGTGATAATTCTGAAAGGCACAAGATGAGCATTAGACCTTTATTTTAAAAAAAATTGATTTCCTTCACTTGTCAACGCTATTATTTTATTATTTTCCTTAAGTACCAATTTAAAAGTAAAATACCACATTGTAAACCATTTAATAGATTTCAATCTATAGAGTGACGCGTTTTTGAGCACTTAGTTTGAAATTTACTCTGGTGAAGGAGGCAGAAACTGAACATCACTTCCAAAATTACAAATCAGAAATTGAGAATTTAAAAACTGATTTATTGATTTTAGTTTTTTTTTTTCAATGATTTTTCCATAATGTTCACAAACATTCTTTTTTTTTTTGCAATGCATAAAGGTATAATGTGCACTGTGCAGTAATGGCTCAGACATTTCAACTGGAGAAATTGCAAATTTTACAGATACTATATTTTTTAAAGTAATAAATTCTTATAATCAGAACATTCCTACCGAATGGTAGCAACACAATTGAAATTACATTTATATTAAAACTGAGATGGAAAGTAAAATAGGTCGCACGGTGGACCACCGTGTATATCAAGAAAATTGATAATTTTCCTGGGTTGAAATGACTGAGCCATTACCGTATGCCTAAGTATGGCTTACCGTCACAAGGAAACATATCGCCCATCAGCTCCTCAACAGCGTTACTCAGCATTGTGGTCGAAAATGTGTCATCTCGACGAAGACCAAGGGCCTTGATGGAGGAAGAAGAAAAAATAGGAAATATTAAAACTACAGAGATGGCCAACTTCACAACTATGGTTTTAATCTTAGATTTAAATTTGTTCTGTTAACATGAAATAGGTCTTATGTTGCAGGTACGATGTTTTAGAAAGGTCCTGCAATAAGTTCATCAGTTTTTTAGATAGTTGGTAATAAATATTCCTTTGCTACAAACTGATGTTTTGATGTCAAAATTGATGTGTGAACTGCAGGAGAGAGAGAGAGAGAGAGAGAGAGAGAGAGAGAGAATGTGTGTGTGTGTGTGTGTGTGTGCATGTGAGAAAGAGCGGGATAGCAAGAGAGGGAGAGAAGGACTGTGTGTGTGTGTGTGTGTGTGTGTGTGTGAGTGTGAGAGAGAGAGAGAGAGAGAGAGAAAGGAGATAGAGAAATTTATACCTTATGAAAGTAATCGACAGCAGCATGACAGTTCCCTTGCAGGGCGTACACATATCCAATGGCGGAATACGTAGACGGGGTCTGAGGACTGACTATTAGTGCCTGCCTGTGGTATTCCAGAGCTTCTTCATACTTCCTGGACACCAAATGAAATGCATGAATATCTGGACCAATGAAAGAAGCAGGGATGAGACTACCATTTCGTAAAAAAGATGTAAAATATTGTGTTGGGCCCAGGTGGCTGCTTAGGCCAATGATATTTTTGGCCCCCAAAAATGAGAAAAATCACATCCCTGAGGATATTGTTTTCATCAGTGGTGGCTCGTTCGTTTGTAAGCAAGCTATCTCAAATATGCTCCCAAAATATTGAAGAAGTTTTCAGGCATATAAACAAGTATATGTGCATGTATGCATACTTCTACTTGTACCACTAGCAGGCCTGTAGAAGGCATTTTCAAAGGAGGGTGGTGGGTATCTTTTTCTGAAAAAGTGGGCCTTTTACCATGAAACCTCTTGTATTTAGCTCAAAATTTTACTCAGGGTGGACCTTTTCCTGGCAAAAAGGGGGCAGATGTTTGAACCTCCAGAACTCCCCTCCCCCATCCCCCCCTCTGGCTATGGGCCTGTCTATACTGTAAGCATACACTCACTTCAGTTTTCGGGACACATGCCCCAGGTTATTAAGCAGGGACTCCCACTTCTCTATCATGACATCAGGAGTCACACAGCGGATCTTCTCCAGCGCATCTTGGAAATATTTCTCTGCCGCAACCCAGCTGAAGAAAGCGACAGTTACATATTCTTTAAACATATCAGCAAAATTCTGAGAGAGAGAGAGAGGAAGAGAGAGAGAATAGAAGAAGAAGAAGAGAGGGGGATATAAGGAGAAAGATGGGGGTATAGAGACAGAAGAGGTATGAGGGGCAAGTGGGGGGAGTGTAGGGAAATTGTGAGGGAGGAAGAGAGAGAGTGTAAGAGAGAGAGAAAAAAGACATAGGAGACAGCCGAAAGAGAGGAGGAAAGAAACTGACTTTCACTGTACAAAAGATTTGTGGTAATTACACCCAAGACAACAATCTATCACTTCCACTTCACCAGCTCAAAGTTCTCTATTCTCTAATTTCCAGACTTACTCCTGATTGTGGAAAGCTATCACCCCCATCTCATGTAGAACAAATGGATCCTCAGGGGCCACATTTAACGCCTGCTGGAAGAACCTCTCAGCCAGCTTGGAGTTATTGGTCAAACCATACTCCAGTCCTATGTACAGCACAGGTAGATGACATCTACAATTGAAAGAATAGATTATTTATTACATTTACAATCACTATAAACTCACACAGATGTTTCTTTGCTTTGTGGCACTCTCTAAAATCAGAGTTGAAAAATATGTCTCTTCTCTCTGCTGGCTTGAGCACAATGTTAAAGGGGAACGTTGAGTGTCCTTTTCTAGGGCCTAAACAAGAGCAAAATAATAATTTATAGTCATTTGCAATCACTTTCTGTATATCTGACCACTTCAGGGGTTTACCAGAAACACAAGGGTCATCAGTAAATTATTGACACCACTTCTGAATATCCCTTAAAGCAACATTGTATAAAAACAAATACTGTTTACCCCTTCATCAGCTGTGATGCAGTAAAATAGGCGGCCATGGCTTGATCATGTTCATTGTCAGCAGCAAAAGAGTGACCAAAGGCCAGCCAGGCTGGACCATACACCCGGTCAAGACTTGTAGCCTTGCTGGAATAGGAAATATTCAAATAAAGACTTTAATTTATTTGACGACTCGATACCCTTGTTGATGTAGTGAAAAACTCTCACACTGCTCAACTGCTTAATTGATATATTACCTTGTCAGGCTTTACTCTTAAATTAAGCTGAAAAATAATTTGTTTACAAGCTGAAGTATAAAAAAATACAATTTTCTTGGCCATTATTGATCAAATGGCCCCCCCTCTCCCTCCTTGATGACACTTTTACACTTTTTGCTTTATAATTGATAATGAAGAAGTCTATATGTAATTATCCTGATTTTAAAGACTGTACACCTATTTACCTGAAATACCTTCTGGCGGGGTCATGCTTGCCCACCAGGTAATAATAACAGCCCACGGCAAACCAAGCTACCTGAAAAATGCAGGATTAGGAAAGCGTTACTCAATTTAAAAATAACAGATTTATTTCACAAACAAAGAAAAATGCATGTGCATGACTGTGCATAACAAAAAAAGGATGAATATGAACACATTTCATGGAAGTTATATACATACAAATGAGAGCAAGAGACATGTACCTGAAAAGTTATTGTTTAAGCCAGAATTTTCTTTACCTATATACAGAATTAATTACAATATTATTGATATTTATTATTATTATCAATGATGTCAACTTACTGCTTTGTTTGGGTACAAATCAACCAACTTATGAGCGAGGTAAAATAAATCTGAAAAATAAAATACCAAAAACTAAGCTTTCTTACTTTATTTAACAATGTTTTAATTAACTTTTTAAAAATAAAAAGTGGCTTCTCATTCATCAACATTTTTCAATCAGGCACACGAAGTGTGTTACACCTTTACATAGCAAAGAGAAAAAATACTATTTCTGGAAATATAAAATAAATATAAGTTTTCCTGTATCACCCCATTCTTTGAAACTGTTTACAATATTACCATCTAAAAATTTCTCATTTTGCCATTAACAGTGAAATTCAAGTGTATGACTCAAAACACAACCCCCCCTGCCTAATTATATACTATTAAGTTTTAGATAACAATTTGAACAGTTATCCAGCTTACTATTTGACTGATGAAGTTCCACTAATACTGCTATATGAAGAGGCAGACATCGACTGTTGTAAGGATCTTTGGCAAGTACCCTGAAGCATAAAACGGATCATTTTAAAGTCACAAAATTAATGTATTTCTTCTTCTTCTTTTTACTGCATTACCACCCTTACGTATTATGTATGCATTAAAAAAATAAAGAACAACTCTTTTGAAATTAATATTAGTTGTAGTCAAGTCTTTAGGTCCCTGCAATACTTTTACTTTGTACTGGTAATCTTTCTGTATGCCTCAACAGTGACTCTTCTAATCAATTCTCAAAGGCCCTATACCCATAGACATTAGCAGTCTATGTTGACTGACCCAACTCTCCATGTAATTCAGTTTAGCTGGTTGCATTCAGCAAGAGTCCCCACAGAGTTGGGTCGATCCATGTAGACCAATAGAGTCTATGGGAATGGGGTCTCTAAGTCACTGCCTACACTAAATATGTAATAGCTGTGAACTCACATAGAAGTTACTTTATGGCACTCTCTGAAATCACAGTTGTAATAATGTCTCTCTGCCGTGTTCACCACTATGTCAAGGTTGTCATGGAGTTTGTTTAAACTTGTAGGAATGGCCAGTTCTTGGGGTTTGTTGTACTGAAACATAGAGGACCACGGGTCATTATAATAATATCACCTTTCCAGGATAACAAAGAACGCATTCGGAACAAGTTGATCAGCGAACTGAACATGGCGGACCCACTTAAAAACTTTGCCAACTAATTCTTCTGATGGTCTCAACACCTGCTCACTCCGTTGCTGCAGGTTCCTGGCAATTAACCCTCAGAGCCGAGATTTAATCCGTTTTATGGCAAATGTGGAGGCCATAAGAGGAATAAGCAGCTTGCTTTGAAGTGGGGTCAGTCACATTTCTTTGGCGGATCATTTAGTGTGTGGAATATCTGTTCTGAATGTGACCATAGATCACAAGTCTTAAGGTGGATTTTGTTGAATTGAATGATTATATATTAAGAATGTTAAAGTAAGTGTTCAAATTTTCTCCCTTGTTTAAGAAGGTAGTTGTGGACTTGTGAACATACATATGTGCATGCTATTATGTACTATGGGAATTGCAGTTGCTTACATGAAAATTTGCGGGTAGTGTGAAAAAATAATTTGAGAATAGTTTGTTCTTAAATTACATTAGACCAGCGTGTGTGTGGATGTTTGTGTGTGTGCACACATGCATCCATATATGTGTGTGCATATTTTCCTCTGCAGAAAAAGCATCCAGAGCCTACTGTACATAATATGCAGCAAAGCATATGTGAACTCTGCAGTGTTCAGGACAAATCTGCCAACCTTTTTCAGTCTATTTTCATACAGGAAGCGGATGAGTTCTGTTTCTTCCTCAGGACACTGTTGACTGAAGGGTAAAGAATCCAGTAATTCCTTCTCTGGAAATACAGAACCATCAAAATATTAATGTCCTGAAAATCAGTTATGAAACCCATAACAGAACCACAAAAAATGATCATAAACTTACTTATGTGGAATGACATTAAATTTAGCTTACTTATGTACCAGTGGTGAGACATATTTTTATAACCTTTATTTTGAAAAAGTAAACATGGAGCACTTGGCGCATAATTAAACAAACACCAGTCTCTAAATTTTTGGGGTTGGGAGGGTTTACAAGAAAATGTCCTCAGTGATGCAATTTGATATTGTACCCATGATTAATTACCATATTTTAAAACAATTTTACATGACTCCAGACATTTTGCCACTTTTAAAAGCATTTACTTTGTAATCTTGACCAATAATCATTTCACAATTTTACCATGACAGCATTTTTATTGTAGCCATGACAATTTTTCATATTGTTGGCATTTCACCATTTTTAAGTAACAGCATACATAACAGTATATTCACCTTCACTAGCCATCAACATATGATGACCAATCATAGCATCAAAGGCTTCAAAATTGTACACATCCTCTCTCAGGGCCTCCCGCAAACATTCCACTGCAAGATTTCTATTGTCCAGGGCCTCGTAAATCTTTCCCCTGAGCAAGTGGATAGAACTTGACATCTGTAATAATAATAATAATAATAATAAGTCTAAAACCCTTCAATAATACCAGCAACTTTGGGCTACTTATCACATGTTTTATACTGATTAAACTTGACTGCATTATTTAAGGTCATTTAAGTCATTAGATAAAATCTTGGTAAAATACCCCCAAAAAGTTTATCTTTATTACCTTTTCTCTTTTAAGATTATTTGTAAAATGATAATTCTTTCTATTTAAAAATAGAATTTTAAAGAAGAAAAAATAAAATAAGGAAATTACAACTTGAATTTTCAGAAAAAAAGCTTTCATTCATGAAAAACTTGAATTATCTAAACATAATGTAAACAATTATAATAATACATAAATTTTCACAAGTTCAAAATATCTGCAAATAGGGAAAAATATAACAAAACAAAATTATTTCATTATGGTTTACCTTGTTTAATGGTTCTCCACTTTCATCCTGAGACTCAACCTGCTCTTTAATAATACTTCTTCTAATCCCTCCTGTTCCCGGTGTTTCACTGCTGTCCAATACTTCTAGTGCTTCTTGGTACTCTTTACATTCATACTGAATATTGAAATATTGAAATTTTGATAATGGCAATTTTAGTCTCTTTTTCTCTCAAACCAACCAAAGCCAATACATGACTTAGTCTTGTGTTACTGGCCTCTTAATTTCCAATGAATGCAGTGGGTTTATCGAAAGTTATTTTCTTGTGTCATATGATCATTTTCAAAGCTAGAGCTTTTGCTTTCTGCACTAGTACTGTTTTACTTACATGGCATTTGGCTACTAAAAACCTGCAAGCTGCATTAGTCTGAAAAATACGACATAGCCATTATGGCGTGTTGTGTTGTGATGGCAGTAGCATTTTTTTTCACTTAACCAAATCACCACTTGTTCATCCTTTTTTTTCACCAAAGGATTTTAATTTGATTTAAACAAGCTACCCTTTCACTTAAATAAGTTTATGGCAATAAATCAGATATTCACAAACTTGACATGGTTTTCACTACTACAAATTAACAGTCAAACATCAAAAATCCAGGCAGGGCCATTGCATCTTTACCATGTGATGAAAAAATGCTGTTACTTTAAAATGGTGTAGACCTATCATAAATTATTTCAAACACACCTTTTCTAATTTTCTATTGGTTATCAAATATGCAGCTCTGTGGTACTGTTTGGTTAAGAAAAGGGTCTGAGCATATGTGTACACATCTGCAACTTCTCCTACAATAAATAATGAATTAATAAGAAGAAGAAAAGAATTTTAAACCGCTAAAACACTTTCCTCCAAATTAAACTTTAAATCGTCAATAAAGTGTGTTAGCTTTGGAGTGCAATAAAAATTTCAAATCGGCAAAATTATCAAAACCAAACATTAATATTACTCTTTTAAAACTATTTGAATTATTTCTTACCGTTTGACAGTGACACCACCTTGTCCGCCCAAAATAATGCAGACTCATACTGATGCTGAAAAGCAATAAAAACCGACTGAAAAATGTTTTTGACGAGTGGTCTGATATATTCTACTGATATCAACTTGCCAGCGAGGCGCATATTCATAATTCTATAGCTTAAAACACATTTATCCCAACGGATCGAGTTAAGTATAGAAATATAAAACGAGAGAGAAATTTTACATTTTTTGCGAGATTGATTAGTGGGAATGAATGACATCACGTTATCGTAACCGTGCTTTTACAACGTATATCGTTTCTCAAGGTAGTTGGACATATCTAACAGTTTTATCAAAATAGAAATAGGTATAAGTCTCTACCTTTTCAATATGAGACTTAACAATAGCACGCAAACGACTCAGATCAACACTTTTTACTCCATCGCAGCTTTGATCTTCAACTTCCCCCGCCATTTTGAACAGGAAGTAAACACGCACCATGCGCAGCACTAATTGCCCAATCAAAGAGAATAATGCGAAATATTTAGAAAGGCAAGATTATAACAAGGAATTTGATTGGGTCGAAGCAACTTCCGCTGTTGCCATAACAAAGCTGCACGCTGATGGAGGATTTTGGCGAACTTTTCATGAAATAATCGTATTTTTTAGCGAATAAGGTGGGTCCCTATTGAAAAAAGATACATTTATTAAACCCGTTGTATACGTCTTACTACAAATCTTTCAGTATGTATTTTAAAAACCACTATCGGTTCGGTTATTTTGTTTTTAAAATAAGCAGTTAAAAAATCTCAGAATTTTCACTCATTCTTTAGTTAATAAGTATACGTGGTATCTATAGTCACACTTGTGAATCAGGATATCTAAAGCTAATTTACCATCAAGGACACTAATAATGGACCCTTACTGAACAACCAGGAAACTGTGGTCTATTTTAGATAACATGAATTTTCAGTAATCCAAGTGCCCCATTTTACACACGCATATGTTTCGTTTGCCCATTATAATATTTCCTATTTCCACTACGTACATTAGTTTATCTGGGTCACTATGATGGTTTGCATCTGTTAAATATTAATGATTCTTTAATAGTTTATTATCAAAGGTGAGCCTCAGACTTCATAGTGCAAGCATATTACTGTACAGTAACAATAAACCTATTTCTTTTTTACTTGCAGGAACGGGCCAGACACACACATACAGTAGACATAACACAATGGACACAGGGGAGCAGTATGCTGAGGTGGCACATGAACTAGTGGACCAGGTGTTAAACAGTGCAGTGAAGAAACTAGAATCTGAACACTTACTGGAGAGGGACACATCACGACAGACCACATTGCTTTCTCTGGAAAATCTCAGAGAGGATTATCAAGTGAAAAATATTGAATGGTTGACAATAGAGGAGTTTACAATACAGAAGGGAGAAGACAAAATTAATGATTTCTTAAAGGCAAGTGACAAGTGTACTATCTGGTATATAATGAATTTAGATACAAAATAATAGAGTTTATGAATGCAGTAAAGCATATGGGAAACGTATGCTTGTAAGAATGTTGTCACTATTAATATTTTTAACTCGAATGTATGGAATATAAATTGTCAATTTGACACAAAGCACTCTAAAGGTCATGCCACTACCCAACATAGGGCTGACTTTTCAGTAGACCTTGAAACTTGGGATTATTTGAATGCAATAGAAAGATCTGTAAATAATTCCAAAGAATCTGTAAATAGTTATGGTAAAGATTTTTTTGTCGAAAATTTAGAAAATTCAACTAGATTCTAAAAAAGTAATTAAGAGTCTTATTTTTTTAATATTCTTCAAAAGAATATATATGAAAAAGATAATATAAATATAAACAATTGTTTCCAGACGTGGGATTATGAAGGCGCATGGTTATACTGCATAGACTTCTTGCAAGAGGATGACTTTGAGTTTGACAAGAGGTTCAGGTACAGAGTGCGGTGGAGTATTCCTACCCGTAGGAAACCAATCCCCAGAGCTACAGCCAGTGTCTACTTCACTTTTGTGGTATCTAAGATTAAGCCTAAGGTGACTATATTAAATCAACATTTTTAAATACTTTTTTTTTTGGGGGGGGATGTACTCTATTACCAGTGTTAGAAATTAAGGCTGGACCGTCTGCACGGGGCTGACAACTTTCAGAACGGGCTGAGAAGTTTTCCCACCCAGCAGACATTCGAGCCAGCTACTTCTCAAGATGGCTGAACTTTCGGTCCAGCAACTAATTTTCCTAAGAGGCAAACACTGTCTATTACTGTTATTTTTTTGTTTGTTTGTTGGCTTTTATACCAAATTCTAAGTCATTAATTGCTTTCTCTCTATTTTATATTTCTCTTTCTTCCTTCGTCCCTTTCTTTCTTTTTCTTTTAATTTTTTTGGGGGGACTGAAAGGCATTTTATTAATAATGAAAATAAAATATGGTTGTACTTGAATGATAATTTAAAATTAGTAAAAGTATGTTTTCAAAAAATTATTTTCTATGATTGTTATTATTATTATGATGTGGCATAAAAGAAAATTGTTCTTCTTATTATTATTTTTTGTTTGTTTCTTGCTTTAATTAACTTCATTCATGTATATTTTGAACTTTTTTGTTTCAGACATATCCTGTAGATGTATATTATGTCTTCGAAACCAACAGACTTGTTCACATGTAAGTACTTTATGTGTCCTTGTGTTTAAAAGAACATACTGAAATCAATAAAAGTTTTCTTAACCATGTATGTGTTTTATGTATTTAAATGTTTTATCCAAAAATATAGAAGGCTTTTTTTCTTCACAATGGTCCCACAAAACTTTTCACATGTCTGCCCAATGATACCTGTCACCTGAGGGGTGGATGAAGGCCGTCTTCTGGGTTTTCCAGAAGACAGTCCGAATTTTAAGTTTTACATTGACGGGCAACTAATTTTTTCTGTCAGAAGTTGGTCAAAAATGGAGAATGGATCAAGAAACATAATTTGGAAGACTGTTACAAAAATCTCTGGATCTGCCCCTGTTATCAGACTGATGTTCCGAGTTGAAATTTTTAGTAAATATTGAACAAAGAGGCAGTGAAGAATAGAAAGCATATTTGATATACTATATAAACTTGGTCGAATTGTTTGGCATATTACTGTAGATTATATTATCTACTCAACTAGATGGTTAGTATAATTATTTATTCATTTTTCAGACCTGGACAGTCAAGATTTAGAGAAAAATGGCTCAAGGATATTATAGAAAACAAAGTGCTCATGCTACAAGCTATTGACTTTTAAATAATAATTTATATTACACTTTTTATTATTAGTATTATTGGTCACACTGTGCTGACTATAAAGATTATTACCAAGAAACAATATCAGAGACCTATATTCAGACCTTCAGACTATTTTACATAGTTTAATATATGTTATAATGCTGACACTTACCTGATGATTTTAATTAAGTTGGGTCATACTTTTGAAATGATCATGTTGTCAGTATTTGCAGAATAAGTTTTAAAACACAATCAGGTTTTATGCAGCATTAAATATTGTCAGATCTTTTTGTACTTTTGCTGGATTTCAACTGTAGTTAAAAAAATCAATAGCTGATGCTTAGAAGTTAATTATGCAAATATTGTCTTTTGTCTATATCATGTGTTTAAAAGTAACAAAATATTTGTATATATGAGAAATAGGGAAACAAACTCACCAAATTGAAACTGTATAATAAATATGTACATTTATGTAACATTTATGTGTTATGAAAAATATTCATGTAAACATGCACTCATCTGCAAGTATAAATTGAACAACAACTGTTTTCAGTTATAATATACAAAATATTTTATTTAAAATGCCTTTATCAAAAAAGTACAACCTTACTCCAAAAGTCACATAAACTGTGGGACTCCTTTGATAAATTCCTGAACTGACTGTAAATTGTAAAGATATTTAACCCTAAAAATTTTAATTAGACATCATATCAAGTAAACTCTTTATCAATAGAGCATACTCATTAAAAGTCCCTCCATTTATTATGAGTTTTAATACCAGTTGGTACAAACAGTAAATTCACAGCTTTACGAATATGCATAAATATATATAAGTATATGTAGCTAATCACAGAAAACTTATATACTTGTAATGAAATATCAAAGCAGAGTGCTAAAGCAGCAATCTAAGTTTGAATTCTCTTTCAAACTTTTAACAACCTTTTTTGAGCAAAAGTGACACAACCAGTGAGGGGAAAAAAGCCAAAAAGGCCAAATTTCAAGATACGCAGATTTCCACTCATAGTTAGTACATGAATACTTGTAAGAATATTAAGTTTATAGTGTGGATAATACCAAAACTATGTTTAATCTGTTGATAGCATTGCAAAATTTATTATTTTAAAGCATTATAGCCTGCATAGAAATATAGTTTACTGAAGAACATTTCATTTAAACAGGTATATTATATTTTTAAAGCAGACAAGAAGGTAAGTTAACCTACAGTTTAAAACTAGCACTCAGTAACAGCTGAAAATGGAAAATACAATACTTATGTCTCCATTTTACCCCAATCCTCTTCAATCCTTATATTATACCAACAGTGGAAGTTGTTCTCGTAGTTACCCTAATCTTTGATACTACCTCAAATTAATCTCATCACAATATTTTTCCATGATACTGCAATTTTCATTTGCTTTCATGGTCACTTAAAGCTACAGCAGTGTAACAGAAATATGTACTGCTTCACTGATTTGGAGCTGGAACTGCTTTAAAGCCCATATATTTAATTAATTTGCCACTTGTCAAACAATTAAATACTTTCTAATAACTTTCTATCACTTTAAAAACTGTCTTCTATCCCGTGGCAGTTGTAATCATCAGTGGCATGTTTGTTTCATCATTAAGTTTTTCTTTGTTGGTAAAGTCCTTAAAATCTGTCTTCGAAAATATCAAAATACCTCTTTGATGAAAACTTTTCAGTGATGTCTCTTTTTTAAATTTTACTTTTGTTTGTTTTCAACTCCATCCATCAGGCAAGATATTCCATCATCATCAACTGAACTGGTTACATTTTTTATGCAGTCACTTCCTCCTGTTCCTGTGTTTGTTCATCTTCCCTCTGTGTCTCCTCCTCTGTGACCTCCTTTTCTTGATCCTTCTTCTCACTATCTGTACTCTTCCTTCCATCCTTGCTGGATTTCTTCTTTTCTGGCTGTAAAACAATGAGGCCAATGTTGTTGATAAATAATCTTTTGTAAATAAATCATTTCTTAACAAATAATATATTATAATATTGAATTATTTTTTGTCTAAAAATTGGTTTTTCTTTACCTTTTTACACTAACTGACACAAAAGTGCAAAAAACAAACTTCTTATAAAAAATAACAATTATCATATATTTAGAATCTTTATTATTATTATTAATCTTTTCTCACCTTTTCCCACCATCCCATTGGATACTGTGAAATATTATCAATAAACTTGAGCTTTTCTTCCCACTCCATCTCCCACTTCAGGTGGTCGTATTCTGGCTGACGTAACGTGATTCTCTTCAGTATCTCTTGATTTTCCCGCGTAATACGGAGGAGTTCCCTCTGTCGTTTTTCTCTGTTCAAACTGTAAATATATTTTGAAAATTAAGTGAAAATTCATACTAAATAAGTATTTTAATAACCAATAATCATAAATTAATATTATGAAATTTGGATTATAATAGATTATTCTGTAATTGCAGATTAGGATATATTTGAGTTATTGCTGTGGGTAGTATCATAAACATAAATTTGTCTTCCCAAAAATAAATATCTAACACAATGATATTTTATATTATTATATCACAGTCAACTTGGGGTTTAAAAACAATATGATTCAAAGCTGAATATGAATCATTTACCTTTTGTATTCGTAATTATTCCTATTATCTATTCTTCCTCGTGTGCGCATGATATAAGACATCTTTTCCAGAAGGATTCTGTTATCTCTTTCAATGGTTGCAAGCCTCTCTTCCTCCAGCTGAAAATAAAAATAAAACATGAGTTTGGCAAGTCTGGTCACACACATTTCACCCTGATAAAAATAGTTCTAATATTCGTAGAATCATAACTAGAAATCATTTGATCATGTAAAAGAAAAATTTTTTTTTTTTGAGAAATAAATAAAAGTTACAATTGTAATAAATAGTATTAATATGAACCCATGCAACTGCTTCTGGCACAGCAACTATCAATCAAATTTTCAGGAATTTGTTTCACCAAAACAAATCCGCACATCAAAGCCTAGAAACTTGGGAATTTAAGGACTTTGCAATATCTCGTGTACTCTCATAAAATCCCAAATGTACACATCTCTCAATGAATGTGTAATGCAGCATGCCAGTGCTGTAGGAATGAATGAATGAAAGTCTATTGATTTCCAATATCTTGCTATCAAGTACATGACAACCAGTTTTGCTTACTGAGACTTGCTATCCTATTTACCTCGTGAAATCAATATATTACATTTGTTCATCCAAATTTGTCTTATCTGTAAATGGTACATACTACTTTTTTTTGCTAAAATGGAAGATGACATAATATTTACAAATCTAAAGGATGAGCATTTTAAGGCAAATCCAGGTAGGAGGGGGGGGGGGGGTTCACGATGGGGTGCACGGGTTGTTAATAAAATATCCTTAATCCATGAGCCAACAGTACTTGTGTACGGATGTAATTATATTGGAATAATATTAATACAATAGACACTGGATATATTTAAAAAAGGGGAATAACAATTAATTTGACATTTAACGAATATATAACAAAACACTACAAATACAGAAAAATAATGATAATAATTTATTTAACCTACCTGTAACTTTTTCAATTTAAGATGCAAATGCATATATGTCTGGGGAGCTTTGGTATCTACAATTGGGACAGCATCTCTGACCTGAAATAATGAAAATGTATTCCCATGTTATTTTTTCATACAGCAATATAGTAAATTAGTATATAAGTGTTATGTAAATTTTCAAAATTATTAATTGTAACCAGTCTGTTTTAACCAAGTGAGTTTTTCATGCCTACAGTATACATATTTAGAAAAGGATAAAAACATATTTCATTCACTTAAAGATGGCAGACTTCAGAGTTATCATCACGCCATAAATAAAATATTATTTTGATTTTATAATCCAAACTTAAAACAATTCAATGATTCACTCATTCAAAAAATTTTCATTAATTAAGTTGCTTAATTCAGTTTACAACGACCCTCCTTCCAAAAAAGGACCTCAATCAATGTCCGTCCTATTAATCCCACTTCCTATATCAAATTAATACCTTAATGTTCCGTCTTATCACCCTAATAATAACATTCCGTGACTATGAATTCGAAGTAATAATCTGACATGAAATAATTAGCTCACCTTTCTCCTGTGTTCATTGTAGTAAGTTTCATCCCACCTCTTTTGTAGAAGTTTGTTGTGTGTTGGAAGGATAGATTGGTACGAGCGATGCATCTTCCCACTCTGACTCATGATTACTAATTAGCGCGTCTATCTGGTTGCAGGGTGAATCGTGCAGGTGCTTTCGCTGTTATTTTACAACACCTGATAAACACAGGTGGCTTCTGTTGTTTGGTCACGTGGGTAAGCTTGTGGCTATAGTAACTGCGAGAGATTGCGAGATATTGGGAGAGCATAGATGGCGATGGTGAGGATAGGTTTTAGTATACAAGACAAGCTACAGAAACTTTGAAACATTCATTTACTTCAAAATTAAGTGCCGTTCATGAATTATCTATTGATTTACCACTCAACATGTCACTATTGAAATATTATATTGAACAGTATGTTTATTGTGAATCAAAAGACAGAGATAATTTTAACACCAATGCTTTTTTGCTTAAATTTGGGGGCGACAAAGGCGACAATACATCTATACTGTCGTTATATATTAATTATAATGTCATGTACAATTCTTATTACGGCATTTCCAACAAAACCAGACCCGTAGCCAGCAATTTCAAAAGGGGGTTCTTTTTCTGAAAAAGTGGACCTTTTCCCATGAAAACTTCATGTACCTAGATCAAGTTTTTATCCAGAGTGGACCTTTTCCCAGCAAAAAGGGTGGTTCTTTCGATCCCCCCGAATCCCCCCTGGCTACGGGTCTGAAAACGTTGCTGAAAGATGTCAAATAAAAAATAACACGTTGTTCACCGTTTAGATTGTAACAATTTATTAAGATTGAAAAGAGATAATGATAAAATATACCGCATGACGTAGTCTAACAGACACAAATTATGCCTAACATTCTTATGTTCCATAAATACAAGTATTTGACGTTCTAGCTCCAATACATCTAATAAGAAAAACACAAATTTCTTGCAAATTTTGACGTTAAGTTACGATTTGTATGGAAGGTGGGGCTAATTTACAAACAGCCACAACATGCCCATTGAAGAGACTCATGTTTTAAGTACAAAATTGATCTCAATCTTTCAAAAAAATCTTTATTTTATTTAAATTCACGTTATTTCATTCACGGCAAATTATATAAACAGAAATACGATGATCTCATACTTACTTTTCCATCTACTCAAACGATTAATATGTGCGTTAAACGCAGTTTCAACTCTTAAACCAATTTAAACTAACATAAACACCAAGAGCCATATAATGGCAATAAAAACGTCGAATCTCTTGAGCTGTGAGTGAATGAAATGGCAAGCATAGGCGGGGCGAGGCGGGATGTTCCATTTCCTATTCCCAAAACAAAATCATGGATTCCGCCCCCCGTACTCTATCCATAAAGGAAGAAAAAAGACATTGAAGCCACTAAGGCATATTTTATGCAATCAATTCTACCAACTGCCAATATGCCCCCTAATTCATTCATGCAAGATATTGCAAGCAATCCATTTAACAAAACATTTTTTTCTGTTGACAATAAATCCTTCCATCATTTTAAAAAGCGATGTGCAATACTTGATCCGTATTTTGCATATAATAAGTTCGTGACTTTGATTTTCTACTATTTAATTACTGTCGTGCACGTGTCGGATGAGGGATGACTACAGTTCAATTTGGCGGTAAAAAGTGCCATTAAACGGATTTCCCGGGGTAAACGACGATTTCTTATGGGAAAATGGTCAGTGGATCAGTTCCGACATTCAAAATTATTCCATGTTTTTTGTTTCATTTGGTTTTAGTAATAATCTCTTGTGTTCAGATCAGAAGACTTCCAATTCTAACAGTTGGGTACATGTAGCTCTACAAGAATTATTCAATTATTCAGTGATTGTCTCAGGTCACCTTGAGATCAGGCTTATTCAGCGGAATGAACAAAAGGACAGCTACAGACGACACCAAAATGATCGCCATGGACAGCAAAAAGAAAAACCTGTCAATTATACAGGCGGCTGCCCGCCATTCTGATCTCTGCCATTCCTCTTCCTCTTCCTCTCTGCGGTTTTTACTCATTAAGCGAAGGTGATCCACGACCTCCTCCAACATTCTGGTGAAGTAGGATCGCTCGACGTAAGGGGATTTGGACTTTTGAACACTAAACGATGGCGCATGCAGGGCGCAGCGTATTGGTCCTTCAATTCCATTCGACCCTGTACTTATTCTTTGACTACTCAGTCGAGCGCCGACATGATCCAAGGGCGTCATCAAATGCGAGTTTTCTCCATCTTCGCCCATTTCTGAATATTTCGAGTCTCTTTTGGCGCCGTTTTTCTGATCGTCTGCTTTTGGCACCACGTGATGCATGCAGAGCATGCGCGCCAGGCATTCAAAGAGGAGGAGGCGCAGCCACTTTGGGACAGGGGTGATGATGGTCCGGTGGTGGACGTTAAGAACTAGAACAGTCCAGAAGATAGACACTGTGGTCAGGCCGATGAAAATGGACAAATAAATACCTGAAAGCAAATATTGTAAAAATATAAATTAAAAGATATATTTTGAGATGCACGTCCTTTGATGAGACAAACGTTGGGACATTACAATTTTTTTTTTTTTTTTTTTTTGTATTATTAATTTTTTTTCGATATCATTATAAAATTATTTTCAATCTACATATTTGAATTCAAACAGAGAAAATGAGAGTTCCTAAGGCATTATTTAAATATATATTTGACTGGAAATTTTCACGACCCCTATTTGTACTCATGTGAGCTTGAGACTCATACATGAAATAAAATCAGAAAAAGAAAAACTAAATTTGGCGTTCTTGAAAATCTCTTTTAAAAACTTATTTAACTTACTAATAATCGGCACCGATTCAGAAATCCTGGGCATGCTCTCCGCAATCAGTAACAAGAAAACAGAGAAAGACAGCAAGACAGTAATCCCCAGTGCTATCTTCTCTCCGTCATCAGGGGGCAAATAGAACACCACAGCCACCAGAATAGACAACATCAAACAGGGCGTGACGATATTCGTCAGGTGATACAGAAACTTCCGGCGCATGAAAATGGTGAAGTAGACACTGGGATAGGGGACCTCGGGACAACAGTAGAAGTACACGTCCTCGCGGGACGCCTTGGTGGCGACGATGTCCCACTCGCCGTTCAGTTTGTAATTTTCCAGGGGGATTTTGGACGAGGCGTTGAGGAGATTCACCTGAAATGTGAATGTTGAATTATGATTTAAATGTTTCTATGGATATTTCTTACGCCTAAGAAGGACGTATATTCATTATTGGTAAAAATAAAATGATTGGTTGTATAATGTGCTTTTTTCAGGATAAACTGTTGAGTGAAGCAAAAAGCCAGATAACTATAGAATCATAATTTAATCTTTAAAATACCTCACGAAAGTCTATGCAAAAGCAAGCGTAAGATCTAGAAATGGCCTTTTTAAATTGGGCCTTGAAAATAAACCATCAAAATAGCGGCGTTAATTTAAAGGTACATACGAACCGAGCATCGGTGGAGCGTGAATTCCCAGTAACACATGTAAACCACTTCTACTAGATTCTTATATGACTCAAATAAATTCGACATGCCAAGGGATAAACTGAACAGATCACTTGATCAGCCATAAAAGACCTTTAGACTGCTCCTTTCTTTAAATTTTTAGTTGTAAATTTAACCTACTTTCGTGACCTACTTTCCTGCCCCATTGACATACAGCTTAGAATGCCAGCAGAAAAATCCGTTCAAACATCATTTTTGGGTAAAATTAAACAATGCCTTTTGGTAATTCTTTTAGTTATACTACTTGAAACTATATGCTGGCATTTGGTTGGTTTTTGTGACAAAAAATTGACTTTGTATGCATCTTTAAAGGTAGGTATCAATGTAAAATATTTCATTCATTCTTTTAACCTGTAGTCCAGTGTATGCCCAGTTAGTGAAGTGCAGCTTGCAAGTCTGGTCGTCAAAGGGGAAATATTGAATATCTAGCTCGCAGTTGGTGAAGAATTTCCCGCCAGGAAGCCATAACACGTGGCCTGTATTCCCGACCGTGATGCGAAACTTGGCGTCTTGGAAAGATGAATGGTAGATCTCGGACGCGCTGAAAGAAATAAAAAAAGATTGGCCTTTCGCCATCAATTTTAAACATGGATTTTTTTCTGAAAAAGTGGCCCGTTTTTCTCCTTAATTAGTTCCAAACTTGAAAAATGAAATTATACCGAGAACAATTTGTTTCAAAGCGGACCTTTTCCGGTCAAAGGGGAGATTCTTTCGATTCGAACCCCCGAACCGAACCTCCCCTGCCTACGAACCTCAAAGGTCTCAGTTTTCCGAAAAAATGAGAAAAATCACGAAAAAGCCAAATAAAAAAGCCAAAGACAGATTGTGACACTCTCTCCAGTAACCCACCTGTTCTGCAGGGCGATGTCTGGCAGCCATAGCATCTGGGAGGAGACCACCACTGACCGCAGACCACCATAGTGCTTGGGATCCCACGTCAGCCGTTCGTCCTGCCACTCCTAAAGTGTACAAAAATTTATTAAATTTAAAAAAGGAACGTCTGAGTCACGTGAGTGATCGATACTCACTTTCTGTGGAGTATTTGCATGTCTCTGACTTCCCTCATCTGCTTCGCTTTATGCTATAGTAACCTCCAATATAGACAGAAATCCACAGCAATTAAAAAGTGATACAGATCAGTTATGCAAATATTACAGAAAATGTGTCCGTCGTTGACGTGGCACTTTACTGTGATATTACATTGTACCTATTCATGGATACAAAGTCAGCTGTGATAAAGGTACTCTTTCATGCGCCTGTGAGCGGTTTCCTATGAATTTTGAAAACCTTTTGCAATCACGCAATAATGGCTTTCATCGGAAAGTGGTTAACAAAGGCCTTTCCATATTTCTTCAAATAAAGACATCAGAGGGAATTTCCCACTAAAGGCATATATCAATGAAATAAAAAGATACGTACCACCTCCATCCATCCGGATGTTGCTAAAATTTGAACCTTCTCGTCCTAAACGCAAAAACATCAATTATACTCCGTGCTATCTATTGCAAGGAAATCGAATAAAAGATAACATAGTGTAGACTTTACAGCAAACCATGTGTAGATTATATGCCGATGTGTATTGTGGTTAATAAGTTTTGCTTACAGGTACATAAAGGATTCTGTAGTTTTATAATATGGGAATCGATAAAGAAGGATAAATCAAACACGCAGAGAGAGAGAGAGAGAGAGAGAGAGAGAGAGAGAGAGAGAGTGAGAGATTATAAGAATAATGAGAAAACTATGGAAACTTTTATGAGTTGTACGCCAAAATAATATTAATATATAAACGACATTTCATTAATATGTCAGACTACGTTTTAACATGTGTGTTTGTAAGGTATAGGAATCCCTATATAAGAAGTACTGTGTGTGTGTGTGTGTGCGTGTGTGTATGAGAGCGCGTGTGTAACGTGCCCCACCTGTTACAGCTGCATAGCTTTCAATTCGACTAATGTTCTTCACGTGTTTATGTGCGTGTGTGTGCACGCTAGCGCGTTGAACCTGTGTGCATCACATTTACCAGATTATTGAGCTGCACTAGCACAAACTTCACTCTGACTTGCACGCTTTCTGTGGAGTTAAGACGGGGACGCGACCGGCTGTCATAATCAGCAAACAGATCCGTGATCAACTTTTCCTCGTAACTCTCACGAACCTCACGTCGGTTATGAACTGAAAATACAGAAATACTTGCCATTGTATATCTAGAATTTGTGATGATAATTATACATGTTCATTAAACAGGATAAAAATAAAACACTGTATTTTAATACACATAGGAAAACGTTGGCATCGTTCTTATTACACTTACATGTAGTTACTGGTATATCGAGTCTATCGTCAAATGTGTGCTCTCAGAATTGTGTGATTTCAAAGTGATATAATTTTCTGTCTTTTTATCATTGAATTAATTAAGACTAAAAGAGTAAGGTCTCGTGATAGTCAAATACACGTTTTTTCGGGTATTAATGGGGTGTTGCCCCCCCCCCCCCCCCCAAACACAGAGAGAGAGAGAGAGAGAGACCCAACACCCCTGATCTAACAGCGAAACATTGATACATCGAAAAAATAAGATTCAATGTTTCGGTTGGCGGCTCATCATCTGCCACATGACCAGTGGGAAAATCATACACGTTGAGTCACTTATGCCTTCCAGCCACCTCTTTGTAATAGTCAGATACCCGCTTTCTGTCCCACAAATACAGGACAGCGTTCGATCTCTAGCCTGCTTAATTAATTCAATTAGACCATCTGAACAAATAGGTTAACAAATCAAGAATGACATAAGCAGTTTCGGTCAATACAGTGACTATATAATAGACCCCACTGTTCCGGGAGAGCGTTTTCAAAATTAAGGCACAGGAAGGGGTTAAACATAGGCGCCCCCCCTCCCACCCCCCACCCCCTCTCGGAGGAATAAAAACTTTAATCTTCGTGTGGGATACCTTTCTCTCTTCTTTTTTCTTTAATTAACTTTTTTCATCGCTCGCCACCCACCCCCATTGCATGGGATGCATTTATAATTTAACAATGCTGAGCAAAAGAAAAAACTGACTTGTGAAACTTAAGAGCATAAAAATCTATAAAAGTGAACGACACCACCTGGTGCATCTGTCAAATAAGTTAAAATTAGAGATTTCCCCTGCCCCACAAAGCAATTAACTGAACAGTTTTTCATCTATTCGCCATTACCTCCACATGCTTCCCCATTGAAAATGATCAATATTTTTGTCATTTATTCCCACCGCGAATTACCTTGGTTTTTCTGGGTGCATTTGTCGCCTGTAGTAACTGCATACCGCTTTAAAACTATTTTCCTTTGAAAATATTTGAACTACAAACAACAAATCAATGTAACATATACAGAAAAATAAAAAAGATAAAAAAATAAAAAATACTTGCCCTAACAAAAGTGTGATTAAAACATTAGTTTGCTTTCCACAGTGAAACTTTGGAATCTTTTTACCAAACAGGATTATCAAAATGTCTAACTGTACAGCAAACATCTATAGTGTACCATTGAAAAGGATTCTTATAATCGACTTATTTTACATCTCCATCTTTATATTTCATCTTTCTCTTCATTGTCACGCAAAACATGTATTCCCAATTAATTGCCGCTCAATATACAGTTGGATTAATGTTGCTTTTCCGCAATATTAACCCACGATAAATTGTGAATTTATTATACATCCATAAATAACAAAGAATGTTTTTATAATTATACTATTACATTCTAGTATTGGAATACCAAGATTCTTGAAAGGGCAAACCGCTACAGGGATCTTGACCACTCACAGTGGGCCAGTATATGAATAGATTAATACATCAGGTGAAATTAAAGAAAATCTAAGATAAATACGTCCTCTGTCTAAAACCCTTTTAATGACATTTATTTATTTGTTTGTTTGTTTGTTTGTTTGTTTGTTTTCTTACCTTCAGAATGCGACACGTCTCCAGACGCTCCTCCAAACTGCAGCAAACACCAGATCAGAACAACCCAGCAGAATGGTGGAACCGTGGACTTCATTGCAATTTATGTCTTCTGTAACGTCAAGAGCAAAAAATTGGCCTTTATCCGAAAATCTACCGGAAAAATGTCCTTCTGTACCTTTCTAAATTGCGTTTTTCCACTTCTCCGCGGATATTGCAAGTTTTGACAAGGTTTTACAAATCGTTGCCGGTTCTAATCGTAGTTGTGTTTTCTTTTACACAAATTCGGTCATTCTGGTTTCTAGTTTTTCTGGTTCGTATATCATTATAGCGTAATAATCAATCATTGACAGTAAACCGGAAAGTAAATCCTTTTTGTGCTTCACCGAGAGAATCATTCCATTATTACGTCTTTTTGGCGCCTCTTTGAAGCGTAAACGCGGATTCTGACCATCAACCTAGCGCGTTCATTTCAGTCCCTTTTCCTCCATAGTTCAATTGCCAAAAGTGTTTTGTAATCCTTCATTCCTAGTAAAATAAAATCTGCGAATTCACCGATGAGCCAAAAAACAATCCCGATGGAAATTTTAGTTCAAGTTTCTGATGCTGCATCCGATATATACTAAATTAAGTCCGTCTTCTTACGGTCAACTACCCCCTTAAGCCTACGAAAGGATTTTTCTAGGCAACTGTCCCGTCGATCACCTTTTCTTAATATACACTTAAGGTCACAGCACATTAAAGATGAACTCTTAAAATTCCTTCTTAGCAAACGCCGATGTTCCAAAAGTCGATGTTTTCTATGGACGCGCGTGGGAAGAAACGCCTGCCATTTTCCGACAAGAAACAGCAAGAAGCAGAGAAAGTATTGATTGCCTTATCCCCTGAAAAAGTCTGTCAATAAATGAGGTCTCCCCTCCGGTTGTGGTTTTATAGCAGTCTTTCTACGGGCAATAGAGCTAATTCACCCTCGTTACAAAAGAGAAAACCCGCAGGCTACCGTTATGCTTTTCAAAACACTAGAAGCGCCTGTAGGAAAAGTAGCATTATGGGAAAGTGCTACTGCAAGTTCCAAATCCAATATTAATGTTAGCCGGATATTTCACTTTTGTACCTCCAAATTGCAAGTCATCTTGATTATATCAGTTTCCGTGTACCTTTGAAACTGGGGGAGGAAG